CGGCAACTCAAGACACATTACCGTACGTTTGCCGACATCCGCCACAGTTTCGCCAGTGCGTGTTTCTTAGGACTCCACGCTTAAACGAATGATCACCGCATCCCAGGCTGGATTCAATCTACAGCCTCAATCTGTATTCTATTCATCCAATCAAAAATAAAATCTCTTGTTGCTCGGTGATTACGTGTGATTACCGCCACCGCTGTCACCGGTGACACTTTGCGTTCGCTGCGTTGGCGTTGACTGCGCCATGCGCGGGAATTGTGGAGCTGAAGGAAATACGGTGGGACGCTCAAGACTACCCAGCACTCCATTGACTTGTATGGCTGAATACGGTTTTAGGGCTGTGGGTCGAGCTAGACGCCACGGTCGTGCTGCAATCAGCGTTAAAATACATAAATATACTATATATTATATATACTTACATATATATATTTTTTTCCTGCCACACACTCACTTGTGTTAAAATTACTTTTTTTCTCGCGCTTCAACAAAAGTTAAAGTGCCATTAAACTAATATACAATTTGTATATGACATTATATAATGCACAAACAAATTTACATAAATACTTATGTATGCTTGTATGTATGTGAGTTTGACGACAACCAATTTAGCTGTGAAGCTGCGCGCGTCTGTATAATAGACTGCAGATAATTCTAAACAGCAGCTTAATTCTTAATATGATCTACATAGTATATAACTATAAATATTTGTATGATATTAGAAGCCTAGATGAGTACTCAACGTGCTAAAATGCTGTAAAGATTCATATTATTTCATGTGTATGAGAATTCTTTGCCAAATCAGTGTGGATTCAATGTTGTTTTTATACCCCGAACAGTTCGTCCGTCTGTCTGTATATATGCGAACTAGTCCCTCAATTTATGAGATATTGATATGAAACTTTGCACACATCTTTCTCTCCCCAAGAAGCTGTTTGTCGGAACTGCCGATATTGGACCTCCATAGCATAAAATTCAGCTGTCATATAAACTGACGATCGGAATTAACTCCTTTTATGTAAAATTTTTTAAATTGTCGAGACATCTTCACAAAGTTTGGCACGGATTGTTGTTGCAAGCAGCTGTATAATCGCCGATAAAATTATTTAAATCGGACCACTATAGCATATAGCTGTCATACAGACTGATCAATTTAAATTTTTTGAAAATCATAGACTGTCCTAAAGTCGAACTTAATCGATTCAAAACATATTGTATAAAGCATGTAAATGCTAGGTTCGTACTCAAATCTTTCACAAAGCAACATGCAAGATATGTTTAAGAACGTAGCTGAGAACCCCACATTCATCACTACTCGTGATCAGACGTGGGTTTATGAAAAAACGCTGAAACTGTCCAACAATCTAGTGGCTCAACAAAAATGAGCCGAAACCGAAAATATCAAAATTCGCTGAAGGCACTGAAGGTCATCACAGCCGTGGCTTGGCTCAAAAGATGCCTATTTTGGGCTATAATTTCGATTTGTATTAAAATATATGAAAAAATTAAGTTTTTTTTTGGGTCAGTCCGGATCAAATTTGATCATATTAGAACATTGAAATCGAAAATTTCAATACAGAAAACTTTCAATTTTAATATATGTTTTAGATTTTGTTAAGCAGATTCGGATAAATTGGGTTGAACTCCAGTATACATAATACTTCGAAAATAATTTTTTTCATTTTCAAACAATCCAGACATCTGTTCTTTATAATAAGTAGCCTACAAATAAGTTGTGAGCTTATGCCACTCAAATTGAATGCCTTTAAAATTGCTGATAAATCTGGTGTCATAAATTTTTGTGTATGTATCTGTCTTATTAAGTATGAGTTAAAAAATGTAAGGATAAGTGTGACGAAATTTAAAAAGATTTTCAAAAATAACTGTCTTTAACTTTGAAATATTTAGACCAAAACAAATTGTTGGAAAAAATTTAGAAAGCTCTATCTGTCAAACTTATGTGATATACTGGATAAATACATTAATATATCGGTGTTCAGCACTGCCTGGTCAGGGTATCCGATCAAGGTCTGTTCTGGAAGTACATGTACTATATTATATATAACTTATTTTGTAAGCAGCCAGTCATACAATATTACTTTAATTTCGACTAACATATTACAAAACAGCATATACTACATACATACATACAAACATATGCAAATATCTTAATTAAAACTGATTTCTCTACTTATTCATATTCACTTTAGACTTTTTATTATAACATTAGAAGACATGTGTATTTATGACTACACATATGTACCATATTCCAATATACTAAGTATCTTATTCTTGTCGTCCATTTATACCTATGCTCGACTTGTGTATGTCTACCTAAATGAGCTATGAAATATTGTTTCCTCTGACACTGAACTTTATGAATTGCGCTAAAGTGATTATCTCATATAAAGAAATGCAAATGTAAATGTCGGTTTAGTCAAATGACATCGGTGTGCGACAAAATCTATGGTTATATGTAAATATATATATATGTATATAAAAAGTGTTTATCTGTTGAAATATTTTCCTCACCTACACAACGATATTTGTCTTTTCAATGAGGCACATGTGAGTGCTGAGTATCTGCTATATATGGTCCATGCCACATGTCGTTTCGAAATTTGCTTAATTGAGCATTGTGTTCGCAGCTTTGAAAATTAAATACTTTGCATATTGCAAGGAAGTTTTAATTTCACTTTTAGTTAAAGATACAACGAAAACAGTGATTGATGAATCACCTACAAGTATAATTCATTGTATAAGTTAAATGAAATTTCCTCAGAGGACTTACATTTTTAAAACTCGTTTACTTGCCTGTTTTTTTGTTTTAAGAAGTTTATTAATTGCAATAAAATACTTTTACGTTAAAATAATTAGATTTTCAAATCAGATTGTTGTATGATTGTTATATAATGAAAAGTAATCCTATAGAAGTGGAACTGCATGAAAAGTAAGTAATTGGGCATATAAAGGTGTTCTTCTGATGATTGTCGCCTTCCCAACACCATAGTCCATATGTTTAATACAACCTACATATTAACACATATAAGTTCATTGCTAAGCAAGCCACCCATCCGTATCAATGATCAGAATCTGTATGGAACTTTCTCTAAACTGCCTAAAATTACAATATAATTGTAACAAAATTAATATAAAACAAGAAAAAACGTTAACTTCGGCTGCAACGAAGCTTGGACAGGCGCATATTTATAGCATAATAAATATATATAAAAATATCTTTATTCTGATTTGGAGCGGTCAGTTTGGATGGAAGCTATAAGCTATAGTGGTCCGATCTCCAGAATATATTTGAAAATTGTAGCAATGCCTTGGATAATAATCTATGCCAAATTTCATGAAAGAGTGACATAAGTTTGCTCTGCTAGTACTACTATATACTTTAGTAGTCCGATCTGAATAATTTCTTCGGAGATTGTAGCGATCTCCTGGGTAATAATCTATGTAGAATTTCATACAACGATCTGAGTTCGATCGGTCAGTTTGTATGGAATCTGTATGCTATAGTCATCCAATATCGGCGATTTAAAAATTTCAGACCGATATCTCAAAAGCTGAGAGATTAGTTTGCGTTTCTACAGACGCAATTCCATCTCCATTTGACTACACTAGTCTTTTTGATTTATACCAGTTGCATGTTCGATAAGCCACTCTCTAAACTCTGGCGAATCATTCGTTATGTGTAGTGTTCAGTTGAATTAAATATCAGTAAAATTTTCTCCAACCTATTATATAGTTTATATAATGATTCATATTAAATCCAGTTGTCCTAAAGTTCGACAATGCTGATAATAAATAGTGAGTGAGGTCAAGGTTAAAATAACTTAGATCTCATACTTTTAGTTATTCCGTTGAAGTAACGGGAATGAAAATAAAGCATTTGAATAGATTTTGGTAGGTTCAAGACGTTAATTATTAATAAACATCTAACGGAGCTTTTATCTGGCTTCACAAAGGACCGTATATCGCACTCTATATATTATTCTCAGCTATATTGGAAGATAAGTCATTTAACCTAATCTAACTTATTGGGCTAAAGAAACTTGTTATGTTATGAATTCGGTATATAAACTGCTAGATTTTCTAGTGTTCGGTACCGTACTCCTTACTTTCTTATTTGTTATACTATTAACAGGATATACAATATTAAGTTTGTCACGAAGTTTGTAACACCCAGAAGGAAGCGTCGGTGAAATTATATAAATGCTCAGCATGACGAGCTGAGTCGATTTAGAAATGTCCGTCTGCCCGTCTGTTCGTCGGTATATACGCGAACTAGTCCCTCAGTTTGTGAGATATCGATCTGAAATTTGTCACATGTCCTTTTCACTAGAAGAAACTGCTCATTTGTTGGAACCGTCGATATCGGATCCCTATAGCGTATAGCTGTCATACAAACTGATCAAACAAACACAGGTCCTTGTATGGAAAACTTTTTTATTTGACGAGATATCGTCACGAAATTTTACACAAATTATTACTAAGAGCATTGCTGCAATGTCCAAAGAAAAGGTTTAGAGTGGATCACTACAGCGTGCAGGGCCCTACAAATTAAACTGAACTCATTGAAATTGAATCACACTCATGTCCTTGTATGGAAAACTTCTTTATTTGACGATATATCTGTTCAAAACTAAACATGTGATTATTGACTAAGATAACAGTGCAGTTTCTAAAAAAAAAATATTTAGATCGCTCCACTATAGCATATAGCTGCCATACAAACCAACAGATCAATCAAGTTCTTGCATGGAAACTTCTTTATGTTATTTGTGAAGTGCAACCGAAGTTAACATTTTTTTATATTTTTAGTTTCTAATATCTATTTAAATATTATGTTATGCTCTTATGTTCTTTCTTGCATGTTTTCTCTCTTTTGTCCATTTTTATTTATTATTTAATATTATTTTCTTTTTATTTCCTCAAATTGTGAGAAAAAACTAACATAACTGCAAATATTTATTTTTCTCACACTTTAGTTCATCAGAAACGATATTCGCTAATTGCCCACTTTGACAAATCAGTGCACCGTAATCGGAAGCAACGATTCATTCAATGATAAATGATCACAAAAGCTGTTTTAAAATCACACTATGCTATAGACACATTCAAACATATACCGGTGCCAACAAAAGAAAGGGAAATTCTCAATCAAATCAAATGAAAATCAATCGATCGGAATCGTTGCAAATGTGAATTTTAGTTGAAAGCGCGGCGCGCTTTTCAATAACGGCTCGGCAGTGGCTGGATGCGCAGATGCAAATGACCATGAGGTGCAGTGCGAGGTAGAGGAGGAAGTGGCAGTGAACACTGTGACACAAGTCAACGTATATATTTATCTTGGGGGCAGGATGTTGTTCATACGTCTACAACGCGGACTAGCAAAGGCTAAGCAGCAGTGCGGGTAAGTGATGGCCCAGCGGTTTAGTAGTTGTGTGGGCGTAAAGCTTGTGTGCCGCTAATTGTAGAACTGTGGTTTTTTTGCTGTGCTATTTCTATGTATTTCGTTTGTGATATGTGCGTTGGTCTGTGTGTGTGTGTGATCATCTGGCATTTGTCCGCGCTTTTTCTTTTATGCTCGCTTAGAGTCAATCAACGATTTCCTGTGCGCCGCAAGTCTACTGGCCACATTAGCTGCCGCGCACCACCGCAATTACACACACACATACACACATGTATGTATATATTAGACACATATACTAGATTTCTATTACATATTCTATTCTGTGGAGAGTGCGATCAGCGGCCGCCGTGCTCTGTGACGTCTATGCAACGCTAGTTTATATTGTGGAAAATTTATATTGCCGCAATTTGAACGCTTGAATAGTCGCAACTAGAAAATCAAATATGTGTGTGTGTGTGTATGTGCTAGCTGCTCAGTTGGTCAGCTATTGAGCTATTGTTGCTAAATGCAGCCTCAAGAACAATCATTCACATGGCCGATGGAACTGTCTAACCGTAATGCTAGTGATAAAATTGAATGCTTGCAAACAAATGCAAATGAAAATTGCCGCCTGCATCATCAGGTTGATGAGCGATTGCAACTGACTACGTCAAGCGTTTTTTATCATAGAAATTATATACATATGCATATATACACATAAGTACATAGGTTTATAGTAGAAAAATCATATCTATTTTTTCGCATATAGAAATATTTACATACCTTTATATGTTGCCTTGCATAAATGTTTGTATCATAAGTTTATCATATCTCGTTGTTGTTATATAACCTTCATTTCGATTCCAGTGCTCATGTATTTAATAAAAGTGTGCTTTCGCGTTGTTGAGTTGTGGCGCTTTGAACGCTGTGGCGTACAAAATTTATACTTTATTTGTGGTTAGTTTAGTCAAAAGTCATTGAAATCACTGAAAAAGCGCTGAAAGCCTCGTCAAGCGTGGCATTACATAACGGAATTCTATACATTCTTTACAATCTCTTGGATTTTATGCAATATATTAAACAGGAAAAGTTCTGAAAATTTAAAGTTGAATAATATAATAATATTTTCTGAGATATGAGCATATTTCTAATCACGTCACCAAGCCAAGTAAAAGCGTTTTCTCGAAACTGTGTTTCTGGAATCAATGATCATGATTTTTCCGAAACGGCAGGCTCGGCCGATCGTTTTGAAATTTATAAGGAAATGTGTATACTCTAAATAGAGTATTTTAAGTTTCCCACGAAGTTTGTAACACCTAGAAGCTAACGTCGGCGACACTATAAAATATAACATACATATGCATACAATGTATTAGGGTGTCCGTTATTTTCCAAGTTGATTGTTTTTTTGCAAGCGCCCCTGAAGTTAAAGTTATAGCCCTAAAAATAAGGGCGCAACGTAAACGAGCTCTTTATTTTTAATTTAGACGGTGCCTAAATTAATTTTCTTTTCTCATATATATAACATGCAATTACTTGATATTTTGCATTAACAAATTGAATTTACAGTTTTAAAAAAGTGATATTATAATATCAAATTTATAGCTCTATAAAAAAGAGCCAAATAATTTTTTTCATAAAATCTTTCGTTAAAAAGTTATACTCAGTTAAATTTATGCACTTTTTAGGTTAATTTTGACCTTGAATAACTTTGACGCAAGTTACTTTTTTCAAAAATGTTACAGAAAATTTTTGTGGAGCGTTCAATTTCCTATAAAAGTAGTTCGATGCCCCAGCAATGTATTAACTGGCTTCGCAAAGAAAAAATTAATTGCAAAAAGTACGAAAACACTATGTTATTTCAATGGAAAATTAATCATCTTTGGTACGAGTTATTATCAATATTAATAGCTCAAATGTGTTTCCAGTTTTTTTTTGCACTTATTAAAAAATTTAGGGGCGCTGCAGAGTCAAAAATCAATTCGGAAAACATCGGACACCCTAATGCATATAAATGATCAGCGTGACGAGCTGACATGGTTCAGCCATGTCCGTCTGTCTGTATATACACTAACTAGATCCTCAGTTTTTTTTTTCCCCCAAGAAGCTGTTAATTTGTCGGAAAGCCGATATTGGACCACTATAGCATATAGCTGTCATACAAAATGAGCGAACGGAACAGCTGTAGAATCCCTGAAGAAATTGTTCGGGTAGGACTATAGCATATAACTGTCATACAAACTGACCAGTCGAAGTTCTTGTATGCAATCTTTTGCATTTGTGAAGGGTATTATAGATTTGGTGAAACCGAGTTTTGAGTTTTTTTCTGTTTTAATTTTTTTTTTTTAAATAAGTCTTTTCTCAATATTAAATTAATTAATCAAAACTAAAAAAATATTTTTGTCGAAAAAAGCTTTTTTAGTTTGGAAAGACGCCATTTTGTCAAAAGTCAGAATTTCGTCTTTTGCTTCATTCTTACCTGCTTCTAAGTTAGGTTAAGTTAGGTTCAATAGCTGATTCTCCAGATGGGTATCGCACTAAGACTACTTCATACAGTTCTTTATAATACCAGAAAATAAATAGGCACTCATGTAAGCAGATCGTATGAGTCCACCAAGTGCTTTGAGGCCAATTCATATCTTTTGAAGCGCTTATATATTTCCTTACCAGTTCATCGTGATGTCTGAAAGTCTGAGCTCCGAGGTGTTTCAGGCATTATCTCAAATCAAATCAGGCAAAGACGGGACAATCAAAAAGAAAGTGTTAAGAGTTGCCTAACTCATCTTCTGCCAAACAGTTTCTTCAACTGGTATCCGGTAAAATTATCAACCTTACCGCATGGACACCGATAGCGCAATGACCTGCTAGAACTTGAACTAGAGACTAGACCTCTTGCAATACACTTCGGTCCAAAAGGATTTTGCGACAGCACTAATGGTAGCCCAGCCCTGGCGCAGCATGAAATGTGGGACTAGGGTCCTTCAGTTCTGTAGTTACCTAAGTCTGCGCTGTGGCCTGGCATCCCTACTAGTCTAATCACAAAGTGACTTGATGCCTTTAATAACGAGACGAAGCATTCTTTAACTAGCGTTGAATGGACGATAAGTGAGCTGAAGGCTAGTATCGCCGCTAGTCACTTCTTTCAAGGATATAATATTATATATATATAAAATTTAGATTTTCATAAATAAAATATATTAGTAGTTTCTCCCGCATCACATATCACCTCTAAGTATTTTATCGTTTTTCATTGAAAAAAATTAGTTGAAATTAGCTTATAAAAAAAACTGAATTGCGCAATTTATTAATAAATTATGTCATTAAAGTTATAATTATATAATGATAATAGATAAAAATATAAAAAAACTAAAAAAAATACAATCAATAATTGAAATAAATTTTGAATAAGATAATAAAAAAAAATCAAACTTATTAACAGGAAATTATTTAATATAACAATTTCATCTAATTTTTTTTATAATAATAAATTTATAAAATTCTAAAATGATTTATAGATAAACTAATTAATTAATTAATTTATTTTTAAATAATTTTAGATATGCATGTTCATATAAAATATTATATAATTTTATTTTTTTTAATATCTTGTGCACACTAAATTTTGTAAATGAATATTTATTTGTTGAAACTAAGTATATAAAAAAAAAAATACTTCTTCACCTATAATTTCGGAAAAGCGCATTTTTGTCGGCTTACAACTGGGCAAAAGCCCTTAAAGAAAGATGTATATTTCGAATTATTCATACATATCTAAAGAACATTAAGTTATATGAAAGTAAACTAATCTTTTTACAAAACTTCTAATCATGGTAGATATCGTAAATTTAATTGGTTAGCGGATTTATCGAAGGCCATATTAGTTGAATTTTTATTGCGAGCGAGTAATTCAATCTCCCTGCTAGACATTAGTCTAAGTTACCCCTTCAAAACGACGATCCCGGCAACGAGTAGCCTTCTGCTTGAAACAGCACAACCGATTGACATTTCTAACGGTCAAGAGCGTTGACTATAATTAATGTTCTGCTAAAGGGTTGCTGCCAAATATAATATCATTTGTCCGTAATGCACCACAAAAACAACAATTGTACTTGTATTGAATTGCAACGCTACTATTGTAAAATCAAATTGAATGCAGGTACAATTGAATTCAATGGTTTTGGTTGAACAAATCGCTTAATAAGCGCTGTACTGGGTACATTTCAATGATAATTTGAGTTTGCAATAAATGCGGAAATCATTCCAAAACCACTTTCTACGGCTAATTTGGCTAATTAAAATGTGACCTTTCGCCAATTGCATTGCTGGTGAAATTGAAATAAATGTAATTGTGTGCCACATGGATTAAGTGGAAATTTCGATATAGTTGAGCGTTAAAATTTGTAATCGGTGTAGTTAGTTAAAAGTTTGTTCTTACGTTAATGTTGTAATTTTATGCAATTTTTTTATTATTTAACCAAATTAAATTATTTTTGTACGTGGGTGGGCGCCTTGATACCAATCAGCCAATATAGGGGACTAAATATTTTATTATTGTCAGAAAAAAACTATTAGAGACCATATATAGCAACTATAATAATTCTTAAATGATTATTCTAGTCTAGAGCAATGCAGGCAATACTAGTTATTTATTACTACTTTAGTACTAAAGTTTACAAAAACATAAAGAATAAATCAATTTTAGAAATTTGCACTTTGTTGAAGTAGATGGAATGGGAGGCGTACTCATCTTATTACGCTTTTTTCTCTTTTTGTCATCTGAAACAAGGGTGGAGTCGGAACCCGTGCAAATGACATTAGGCTGTGAAGCTTAGAAACCGAGAAAAAAAATTTCGTGAAATGATGGTTTCTTAAATAAATATAAATATTTTCAGTAATTTTCGGAATTTTTTAAAAATACTACAAATCAAACATTTTGATTTTTTGTCGCTGCCCACCACAAAAAAAATACATACGGTCTAGTAAATTTGTATTAAATTGAAGGTTTTATTTAACATAGTTAGAATGTTGTTGTTATTTTATATACACCCTCGATATTATTGGAAAAAAAACTGGGACAGTCGACAAGCTTCTCTTGAGGCACCCAACAAAATCATTCGCCATAGGCAGCAATATCTGTTGCGGCATATTTTGCACTTGTTATGATCATATATTTTATATCTCTGTGTGTAGACTATCAAATTGTACTCCATAGCCTCATATTACTCCACTTTGTGTATTAATTGGCACAGGCAGGGATTTTTAAACTTATATTCTACACACAAAATTTCCTTATCACTGAAGTATAAGCATAATTTATAATTTATTTTGCAAAACTTTAGTTGCCTACTGCTATTACTTGACGAAAGAGCGGTTTCCCAGCGACGATCGACGCTGCTAGCGTTTACTACAAGAAGACACAAAGTGTGTTTGTGGTCAAGTTTTGAGTTAAATAGTACCGTTTTAAGCTACCGTGTATACTTATGTATAATTTTTAGTATTTATTTTATTATATTATATTTATAAATAAACAACTGTTTATGAAAAATTATAAACTATTTATTAATTTTTATTTATTTTCAGAAAATTATGAGCTACTAGTACTGTAAGGACTTGTGGTCTATTAACTGGATGACAAATTATACAAGTTTGAAGTTTTTATAAATTATAAAAACATTTGAACACTAATCTTTTGGTGACTGCTATTCGCTAATACATACATACTTATGTAATAAATATGAATACAAGATAAATTATTTTAAAAATAAGAATTATATAAACACTTGAAGTTCACTTTCATTGTGCACAAATGCACATTATTGACAGAGAATTTTAATAAACAAATATTTATTATAATAGTTTATAATTTTCAGTAATAAATAAATATTTAGCAACATTCTCTGCAGAAATGTTTCAGTGCCGCTGTAAATTGTTTAAATTATGGTTTTGTCCTCCACTATATACAGTGTTGCTTAAAATACACACTTTATCCAATACAGATATTTTCAAAGTGTATTCCCCTAACAACGTTTTAGTGCCACTGTAGCTTGCTCATATGTTACATTATGGTTTGTGTATTAACTATGTACAGGAAACTGACAACTATATGCCTGAGTAGCACACCGCCAGTGTAGTTTGCGCCTGCTGTCAGGCAACAAATTGTGTATTTAGCAAAAGTGCAGCCACCTGCTGCAGCACTTTGGTCGCCTGGTAGAATGGAACAACGACGACTTTTGATAATTTCGCGGCAAGCCCTGCAATTGCAAGTGTGTGTGTGTGTGTGTATATGCTGTGGGACATGTACTATGTTAAAATGAAATTTACTGTAGTTTCTATAAGGATTGAGTATTAATTTAAAAAAAAATAAGAAAATTAATAGAAGAAATAAGCAAAAAATTGAAAATAAAGATATAAAAATAATTAAAATAAAGGACAAAAATTTTAGAATAAATTTAGAAAAAATTTTTAATAAATAAGTTTTATGTTATGTGATACATTTTTTTGTTATTAAAATAGATAGTAAAAAGTGTTGCAAATAGTTATTTAAACAAATATTAATAATATAATAAAAAATAGATAAAAATGAGATAGAAAACAAAATTTTAAATAATTTATTTAAATGAACGATAAAATTTTGAGAAACATAAAAAAATTAGATTAATCTTCAATACAAAAAATAAAAAATTTTGAAAATATTTAATAAAAAAATAAAAAAAATAAATGAAAAATTATAAGAAAAAATAAAAATTAATTTATTTAAATAAACAACAAACATTTAAGAAACAAAAGATTAATTACATTTTTAATGATTTGTTATTTAATATTACAATTCTAATGTTAGTACAAAAATTGTTGAAAAAATTTAATCAAAAATTATTAGTTGATGATTGAAAAAATAAATAAAAATTTATGAAACAAATAAAAAAAAATTTGTTAAATAAACGGCAAAATAAACAGCAAATTGATTTTATATTTCATTAATTATTACTTGATGTTCAGTACAGAAAAAAATTTTTTTTAAATATTTACTTAAAAAAATTATTAAATTAATAAAATAAAAATAATTTATAAAAATAAATGACAAAATAAGCAGAAGTTATATAACATAATTTTTTATTTATTACGTAATATTCAATACAGATAGTAAATATTCCTTAAAATTAAAAAAAGGGGTTTATTGGTAAAAATATTTTGAGTAAATTGATATGTTTTTTTAAATTTTCAATAAATTCAAAATATGATTTATTTATGAGCTTTCATTAAATAAAATATAGAAATATTTTAAACCAAATTTTGACCTAATTTTTTTTAAACCAAATTTTAACCTAATTTTTTTTTCATTGGTATGTATTTTCATTCATTATCTTTTAATTACATTTTTTTCTAACATTTTCCGTTGAAATAAAAAAACATTTTTTTTTCAACTTTTTCATAACTTTTTTGCTTTATTTATTTGTAGTTTTATATTAATTTAAATGCAAACATAAAAATTAACTTAAATCCAAGAAAAGAAAAGAAAATAATTATAAATGTATATTTAGGTATATAATAATATCAATTGTAGTATATAATATTTGTATACAATAATAGTAATAATAGTGATCATTATCATTATCAGCAGCTTTTGCTGCGCATCAAACCGCAGTTTCATCACTTAATTATTAAGCTAATTTTTTGTTGTTGCTTTCTTATTTGCGTTTTGCTTCGTTAATTAGCTTTTATATTTGTTTTGCGAATTTCATTTCTTATAAGAGTAAGTATGTGCTTTTAACTCATAACATTTTTTTGGAATTTTTGTTTTTTTATTTTTTTTAACTTTACTCTTATTTTTAGTTTTTTATTTATACGTTATTCTTGGTTTTATATATATTTCAAATCTTAGTATAATTTTTGTTTCTAACATTTATTTTATATTATTTTTTTATACTTTCATTTTATTTTAATGCTTCGATTTTATTGTACATTAGTTTTTTAGTTATATATTTATTTTATTTTTATTAATTAGTTTTTGTATTTTTAATTTAATTTTAATAATAATTTATAATTATTATTTTTTGTATTTTTAATTTAATTTATTTTTTATTTTATTTTATATTTTTAGTTTTTATTTTTAATTGTTTTTTTTTTTTAATTTTCTATTTGTGATGATTATTCTTTTAGTTTTAGTTTCTCATTCCATTTCTTATATTTTATAATCTTATTTTTTGTTAATATTTTTTTATGCTTATTTACTACTTTTCACTCTGCCATTTTTATATTCATTATTTATAAGTTTTATTTTATAATTTTTAGTTTTTCATACCACAAATTTTTTTTCTTCTATTTTTAACTACAAATTGTATATATTTTTGTTACTAATATATATTTAGGTTTTATTTTATTTTTGTATTATGTTTTTCATATTTTTCTACCATTTATTTTTTTATGCGTAATTTCTTAAAAATATTTTTCATTAGTATTTTCTTACTAATTTTTATTTTTAATTTTATATCTATTTCTCTTTTGTTTTTTGGTTTCCCTTTTTCCCATCCTTTTATATATATAATTATATGTAATTTTAAGTTTCATACATTTCGATTTTTGAGTTTTTCAATTGTTATTATACTTCCCACTAATTGTTAATTATGTTTCTGTTAATTATTATTTTTTATTTCCTCCCTGTGATATACATATAGTATTCTTCTCTTATCTACCTTGCGCACTTGTTTCGTGAATATATTAGTCAGCACTTATATAAGAACGAGTTTATTTCTGTTTTTACATGCAAATAATGTTGACGGGTCAAATGCTTTGACATTTTTTATTTAAAGATAATTGCTATACATTTAAAAAAAATTTTATTAATACTTTAATATTTTTTTATGATATTATTTATAACTATTTTCTAAAGTAATTTTAAATATTCAAATTAATTTTTAATTTCACATACTACATATTTTTTTTAAATTACTTATTAATGGTATTAATCAATTTTTAAAATAAGTTTGAAATGTATTTTTGAAACGAATACCAACTATATAACATATATTTTTTAAAATTAATTTTCAAAAATATATTTTTTATTATTATTTTTTTACATTGTCATTTTTAATTACTTAATTGTTTAATTATTTATTTTAATTTTATAAAATAATTTTTACACAGTAAATAATTTTAAAATAAATTTTTTATTAAATTATTTTTTTAACATATTCCTTTTTAATTAATAAAAACAAATTGTAAACATAATTTTTAAATATATATTTTTTAAATAATTTATTTTTAACGTATTCATATTCAGTTAATTAATTTAAAAATTTTTAAAATTTGTTTTTTTTTTAATTTTTTAAACGTATTCTTTTTTAATTAGCTAATTTAACTTTTTTAAATAATTTTTAAACATACTACTTGATAATTAATAAAAAAAAATGTTTCCTCTTGATTATTTTTAAACAATTTATTTTAATTAATTCATTTAACTTTTAAAAAAGTTTGTAATTTAAAAACACATTTTTTTCATATTATTTTTGAACTATATTATTTTTTAATTATTTAGTTTAGCTTTTTAAATTAATAAAATTTTTTTTTAAATTATTTTTTAGTTTCTTTAATCATTTTTTAATATATTTTTTTTTTATAAAATTAGCGTTTTAAAATAATTTTTGAGCATATTTTTTAGATTGCTTTTAAAATATTTGATTTTAATTATTTTTTGTAAATATTATTTTTTAATTAATTAAGCAATTTCAAAATAAACTTTAAACACATTTTTTTAACATATTATTTTTCAATTAATAAAATTTAATTTTAGAAATTTTTTTTAAGGTAGTGTTTTAAATTTATTTAAAACATTTTTTTTTTCAAATAATTTTTTAAACATTTTTTTCTAAAATAATTTATTTAACTTTTAAAATTATTCGTAAACATATTTTCTTAAATAAAATTGTATTTTTGTTTTTTATTGTTTTTTGAATATTTTTTTCAATGAAAAAATTTAACTTTTTAAAATAATTTTTGAACATATATGTTTATATAATTAAAAATTTTTCATATTCATATCCTCTTTTAATTAATATATTTAATACTTTAAATTATTTTTTTATATATATTATTTTATTTTATTAAATATATATCTTTTTAAATTAATTTTGAAACAATTTTTTTAAATTAAATAAAATTTGTATAGAAGAATTTGTCAAAATATTTTTTTCATAGTTTATGTCGTTGTGTTATTCTCTGTGTATCTTTTCTGGTGTTTTGTTTTGAAGTTAAATTATACAAATTATTTACATACATACCATAGACAATGTTTCTTTGTGACAGCATGTAGGCTTGTATGCATATAATATATATTATAAATGTTGTGTGCATACGCTTTTTGTTCATCTTAAATAGCTTTTCGGCTTGAGCTTATAAACATTTAAAATGTTACCAAATATAAATTTTTATAAACTTTTGTAAGTATGTATGTATGTATGTATATATAATAGTAAAGCCACATTTCCAGAGCATTTTAGTATATATGTGTGTGTAGATGTGAAGGTATGTATTTTTTGCAATTATTTATAATTAGCATATTATTATGTTTTCATATACATAATTACTATTCATTTGCTGCTCTTTTATAAAAAGCAGTCACTGCACAAAAAAAAAATTGTATGAAAAAAATATATTATGTAAAAAAAGTTATAAAAACATTTTTTTTATTTCATAGTGTGCCTCTTAATATGTTGCCACATCAATACGCGCACAATTAATAGTTAATTATGCGATTTTATTTTTTTTACCTACAATTATTTATTTATTTTAGATTTACACTTAAACTCAGCAAATCGTGTCTTTTTGTTGTTGCGCTTTTAATATATTAATGTATTTGATTTTTCCCCCACACGAAATATAGAGCGGCGAACATATTTTGGTTGTTGTTGTATATTTATTTGCTTCAATATATATACAAATATGTAAGCAATATATATATATATATTTGTTATTTATTTAAATATTTACCTACAACTTGTTTGTATGTTTTAACATACATACATATGTGTTAGTACATACATTATATCTTTAGCAGAGTCTTTTTTTGGTTTTGTGGCAAGGACATCGAACTGTGGCATAAGTAATGTTAGTGGAAACGATTTGATTTTTTATTAAAGCATTTTTTTATTTATGTATACTTGCAGACAGCCATGCATAAATAACTATAGCTTTGTACATATATATCATACGTGTGCATATGTATGTATGTGTGTCAATAAATTGCTCTAGAGCTTTTGTTGGCAGCTTTAATTATACTTTGATTACTTGATTGATCGCCTCAAATGTATGTGGAAAGAAAAAATAAGTAAACAGATATAGTGAAAACGAGAAATATAGTATCGAAAGTCGAGTTGGTATGTAGAATCATAAGCAATGATAAATACAGCTAGACGCTATTCAAAGAACCCTAGGTACTTGTAAAGTCTGCGCCAACAGCACTCTGCTTTCTCTTATCGACTACGGTAGTATTGTGATTATGAACGAAGACAATACCAGTCATCATATCAGCAAATAAACAGTGTCATATATTAGCTCATACTACTTGTTGGCAATTGGCATCCAGAGCTTTGGAGTTGTGTACAGTAATGTTATGTGATTTTAAGTTAGGCTAGTTTTCAAGATTACAGACGATTAGCCAATAACCTTTTTAAAGGATACACCAAAATAGGTATCATCTTGTGGAGAAAATTAACGGTACAAAAATTCTGTAGCTATGATTCGAACTTCCTCATAAGGTTTCAGCGAATATAGTCGAATGAGGACAAAGATCTGTCGAAAATCGAAATTAATATTTGAAATATCTTCAAAATTTATAAAATTGTCAAGAATAATTTTTAAATTGAATTTTGTTTTTGTAATTTGTTGGTTGACATGCATGCATTCAGGTATGTAAAGGCTAAAAAATAATAAATTTTGGGAAAAATTAAAAAAAGAGGCATAACTAACGAATTCTGAGAAAAGTTGTTTCTTTTTTTTTTAATTTTCAAAAAATTTTTTTTTTGTTCCTGTTCTTTCCATTATTCTATTTGCGTACTATTTTTAATGCATATGTTGTCTTTCTGTAATTTACGCTATTAAATGCATTGAATTTAGCAGTCTGCAAGCGTTCAGCCACTACATGGTCATAAATATAGCACATTTAGACATTTTGTCCGCAGATATTATATATTAGCGTGTCCGTTACTTTCCACGTTGATTGTTGTTGCAAACGCCCCGGAAGTTATAGTTTTAGCCCTAAAAATAAAGGCGCAACGTAAACGAGCTCTTTATTTTTAATTTAGACGGTATATTTTGCATTAACAAATTAAATTTACAGTCTTAAAAAAGTGATACTGTAATACCAAATTTATTGTTCTAAAAAAAAAGATCTTAATAATTTTTTCCATAAATCTTTCGTTTGAAAGTTATACGCAGTTAAAGTTATACATCAAACTAGAGCATTCATGCAAGTGCCTTATAAGTTCTATGTTACTCATGCGACATGGTGTACTATATGAATACAGTACAGCTGATGCATATAGTAGTTCAACTTTGATTTTGAATAACTTTGACGCAAGTGAATTTTTTGAAAAATGCCACAGAAAAATTTTGTAAGGCGTTCAATTTCCTATAAAATAATTCGATAGCGCAGCAATGTATTAATTGGCTTCGCAAAGAAAAAATTAATTGCAAAAAGTACGAAAACCCTATGTTATTTAAAAGGAAAATTAATCATCTTTGGTACGGGTTATTATTAATATTAAAAGCTGAAGTGGGTTTCATAATTTTTTTTTAAAACATTTACTATAAATTTTGGGGCGCTGCAGAGTCAAAAATCAATTTGGGAAATAACGGATACCCTATTATATATATTCCTAACTTATTTAATTACTTAAGATTATGTTATATTTAATTACTATATATTTTTAAATATATATCTCATTATATATAATATATGTATATACCATATATACATTTTTGTTGCAATTAACCTAAATTAAAGTTTTATTTACATATAGAAACATTGTGCATGAGTTAGTTTTAATTTCGTTTAACTTTATTTGAGTGCACAGCGAAGCCAGCAATTTTTGAGTGAACATGTAACACGTAATGTGTGTGTTTGCTGCAGCTTAGCGTTATTTACGGTATATTAATGCGGTTTGAAAAGTTGCTTCAACGATTTTCAGTTAATTCTATAATGATTTGCGGTGCTTTCGTTTATTAATGCGCGTGTAGTTGAACCATTTATATATAATAAAGTATATATAACTATTTTTATTTTACTTACTTATTTTTGTGTTTGTTGTGTTTATGGTTGCCTTTTATGAAACTTTAATTGCATATTCTTGTTTTTCCTACTTGCTTTAGCTACTCTCGGTAATTAGTTTTAATTATTTTGTAAACTTTAATTGTTGCTTTTCCTTAAATTTATTTACGTTTTTTTTTTAATTTTTTGCATTTTCCGCTTTAATTAATATTCTTAGTCTTTCCTTTAATTCTATGCTTCCACAATTTTGTTTATCGTTTGTGCCATTAGCGCACTTTTTGCCGGCTTCTTCTTTAATTACACTTTCAATTGCTATTTTCTTTAGTAATTATAAGCACACACAAACACACACTCTCGCACAAGCGCTATGTTTGTATGTGTGTGTTTACTGTGTTGTATGAATGCGTATTTGCTTTCTAAATAGTTTTGTTTTAACAAAACATGTTACTATTGTAAAAGTTATATAAAAACCGAAATATATACATACTTATTGTATATACTTACATGTAAAAGCATGTATATAAAGACGTATATGTAAATATATATATGCATATACATATATACAAATACAAGTATACACCCGTATTTTGTAGAAAAACTCAAAGCACTTTTGCAATTACCTAATGGCCTTTAGCAGCACATTTCCGCTACGCTAACGGTTTTTCTAAACTATTTTATTTTCCGTGTTTCGTATGCGTTCGCTGTCAATTTAATTGTGAGTGTGTGTGTGTGTAAGTGTATATGTGTCTGTTAGCATATGCAAATTTTAGTTAGTAAAAAATTTTGTTGCACAAGGGTTATTCCAAGAGAGATGATGTTGTGCTACAATAAAAAGCGTCAAAGTGGAATTTTGAAAATTTTTTAATTAAAAAAAAGTAATATGGAATAATATATAATACTATGATATAAAATTGTTATGGCAACCGTTGTGATTTTATATAGAAATTCGTATATCATATATGATATATGTTCTTTGATACCGTGTATGTATGTAATTCATTGTATTGAAAAGTAGAAAATATTATCAAATTCTAAAACTATTTATACGTTTCTAATCAGATTTGGAAATTTTAGTATATATTTGAAAATTAATAAGTCTTATTTTTAAGCTTTGCTTTCGGCGCAAATTTATTATTGAATATGTTGTGTACTGTTTCAGAATACCACTGCTCTCATTACATGTCCATAGAAATTCCAGCATCTTGATTTAAATGCAAGTAGAACGCAATGAATTCTGGTTTTAATAATTATTAAGAAAAATATACACTTAGCAATCCTTTATGCATTTTTTTACAACAATACTTATACTCAAAAAGCCAAAAAGTTCCCAAAGTTTCTTTTTAAGTTAGACGTTGTTATCGAAACTCTATTTCTCGTATACCTTGGCAAATACTAAACCGAATACACTATTTGCACAGTTGGTCAGTCTAACATCCAAAGTTGAATCTTAGATTAGTTGTTGAAAGCCAAATCCCTTTTAGAAAGAATGTTCAATCAGTGAATTTAAAACCAATTGACATACCAAGAGCAGTCCTTCCATTCATGAGACTATTCTATTCTGTGCACTTGACAAATTCAACATCTTGCTACTTTGTCAAGATAGACAATTTATCAGGATTTTTCTATACTGCATCATAACTAAAAAGCTCTTTTCCTGATAAATTGTCAAAATGTCAAATGCTATTGACAGTCCCCTCTACAAATAAAACATCTGTTGTACTTTTTGGGCATAGTGGTGAATACCAATTTGTTAGAACGAAAGATATTCCACTTTTACATTTATATGTTAGACGAAGATGAAAATTGCGAAATTAGCGATAAAAATTTTACTTAAAAAGTTTACGAAATGTTATTCATTCATTTTCGTGGAAAATTTTATGTGGAATTTTCATTAGACCTGTTACCGTCGTCTCATAAATACCTCACTTTTACTATAAAAGTCTTGGCAGCTTTAAAATTCTTGGTGCATGGCTCATATCAGAAATGTATAGGCAACAAGAAACAAGCAGAAATCAACTGTATTTGTTTACATTATTTTGTTCACCATACGTGTGGGGAAAAGCGCTGCCTTCTTAAGCTTTAAATTTCATCAGGATTGCCACAGTTTAAGAAAACACTTTTTAATTGCTAATAGTCTTGATAAATTACTTAAAACCAAAAAAATGCGGATATTCGTTAGAGCATAGAAAGTTAATGAAAACAAATGAATGTTATGAAAATATTGAATGAAAAAACGCTTGAAAGCATTAAGACTGTGAATCTGACAGCTTCTGTTACGGAGTTAATAAAAGAAAAATATTTAAAGGTTGATTCTACAGATTCCACAGACTTCACGCAATTTGTTATAAATTGAGAAAAATTGGAGATTTTACTTTGCACTAAATAACGAAAAAAATTGAAAAAAGTCATAGAAATTGTAGAAAAGATTTTGAAATAAGCAACCTTAGATCAGACCATAGGAGAAGAGGTTAAGTGAACTCACTCACCCAACGAAATAACTCGTGGTCTGATTTTCGGTTAGGTGACTTTGGTGACAATTAACTTACGTTTTGTCATCCAAATAGAGTGTACATAATCTTTTCAACAACAACCGGTCTTGACAATTTTAAAGCTTAAGATTTTTTCGTCTGATTTGACCATGGAATAACCCACTGATGCTAATGTTAGTGTGTAGGTGTAAGTTTATACACCATAAAGTCAGTCCGTTTGTGAAGCTAAGCGCGCCTTTTAAATACTAATTTTACCCGTTGTTATACATGTTATTGCAATTACATTCATTATTTTAATATTTTTACATTTTTCAATATCAACTTTCATCACTTTAGCAAGTGCTTTAAACTCTCGTCGTAACATTGAGCTGAGTCATTGTGACAGTGTGGCATAAATTTATGGCTTTTTCAGTTTCCTTGCATTTCATTTTCCTTAAATTACTTAATTACATTTAACAACAATACTCGTTGGTTCGTTATTCATATACACACATACATACATATATGTATACTAGGGTGAGCACAAATTTATACTTTCGAATTAATGGTTTAAAATTAACCAACATATATGCGGAGTAAAAACATATTCGCTGGAAAAAATTTATAGCTTAGTTTTCATAAAAAATACCTTCAATTTAGAACCATGTATAGCCCAAAAGATTTTTTTACATTGCAGTTTCTTGTTAAAGACAAAATTTCCAAAAAATCTAGCTCAGCGGGATATATGTTTATATCGTATAACTATTTGAAAGCCTTGAAAACCGTTTCAAATTAAGCTAAAAACTTTTGCTGGCAGTAATTTTTTTTACTCCGCATATACTTGTAGGTCCATTTAAATCTATGAATTCGATGGTTTAGTTTTTGGCTCACCCTATTGCACTTCTAACTAATTACATTTATGCTCTCGCGTCTTTTGTGGCAACATTTCGCGGCAAAATTTTGGTTTGCTTTCATTTAATGTTTTGTTTGACATTTTATTTCATATTTTTGTCGTATTTTTCATATGGTGTACAAACAACACTCAGTGAAGTGCTTTTTGCATCGCACACATGCACATATTTACACACACACACTCACTCATACAAACACTTAATTGCTTTATTCTTTCATTCTTTCCTATGTCTGATTGCATTATTATTTTTCTTTTTGTATTTTTCTCGCACAATTTGCATACCCTTGTACCAGCTCACACATATACACCCACACCCACACACACTTGCATGTAAATCTTATTAACTTTTTTTATGCCTTTTTGTTTAATTTTAATTTGGTATTGTTACTTTTTGTCTGCAGTATATCTGTGTATGTATTTGTTTACGAATATATTGTTTGCATATTTCATTATCATGCATTGTCGTTAAGTGCTTAACTGCTTAAATACTTATTTAATAATTAATTACATACATTACTAACTATAAAGTTGATTCATAATTACACACAAATTTATTTCTGTATTGACTAACTTTGAATTCGTTGAGCTTGAAAAGGTTTTTATAATTAAGTTTTAATTAATTTATATATAGAAAGTAAGTAGAAACTATTTTCATATGCATATTCCTAACGTTAAAGTAATTTAATAATTAAAAAAGAAGGACAAAAAGTACAAGCAAAGAATCCGGAAAACTGTGCTTCTTACAAAACGCTTTTCTTGTCGGCTTGCCAAATTTATCTGATAGAGTTTGTAAGAAGGTTTTACCTTACTGATGTTTAAGCACATTATACCATAGACTCCATAGCAAACCAGAACTTTCCTTGTAACCAAGCTTTATTACAAAGGAGGTGCTTAATATTCGTGTATAATGCCCAAAAATAACCATAATTGGAATATCCACACAATTTGAGTGATTGAGCCATAATTATACTCAATTTATTATTTATTGACGCAATTAATTATGGTAATCCAACTAGCAGGGTAGCAGCGTGTATGATCTCTGCCTAATAAAATTTTAATAAAGAAATTTTTTTTCCTATACTTAGCTAAATTACTGACAAAATCGCTTACCGCTTTTGTTTATTCATATGAGTATATTCAAGTGAGATACTTGAAAAATAGTTGTGTCAAACTTCAAGTAAATCAGCTGATTAGAACTTGAGATATCATGATAATGACATCGAAGAAAATAGTTTTGAGGAAAGCGCGTTTGAAATTTCGTCGTGTTATGGCAACTACATTAAAACGGCTATAATTTGGAAATCGTTTGAAACACCAAAAATCTTGTTAGGGAAATATTTTATCTGTACTTCTCGTTTAGAAAAACCCCCTGAGCGAGAAAATATCAATAATTAACTTACAAACTTATATCATAATTATAAAGTCTGGTAAAAAGAAAAAAATCTGGTAAGAAGAATAGAATAGTTAGAATAATTCGATTTACGTCAAATATCCACCGTTATTTTCGATAACTTGTTGCCAATTTGAATGTAAGCTCATAATGCCTCTCTTATAGAAAAAAACGCCTTTATTGGCAAAAACTTGGGACAGTCAATTTTCACAGATTCTTCTGATGTGAATTCTTTGACAGCAAAATCATTCGCCAGTGACGGAAACAGTCAGCACTTAGTGCCAGAACTGGTGTATAAGCTGGTTACACAACAACCTTCCAACCGAGCTCCCGTAGCTTACGGCAGCTCACTACTTATGTATGTAGCCTGGTGTTGTACTGATGGAACACAACTTCTCTCCTAATGGTCAAAGCTGGCCGCTTCTGGGCGATAAGAGTTTGGCCGTTGGGGTGCAGCTTATAGTAAATTATTCTCTTTTAACCACACCAAGTATATAGAAAAACTTTCATGACCGTCAATCCCGGCTTGGTCAACGTTTGCGCCAGCTCCACGCGTCATAAGTGCACTATTTTTCATCTTCAGAAATCATCTGCTTCAGCAATGGATCGATTTTGTTTCGTTTCAGCATTTATCGAAGAAACACTGTTAAGTGTGATGAATTTTCTCTTTGCTCGTGTTCATCTTTGACGCGTGCTCAAACAATAATGTGTGAAGCAATTACAAAACTGTACGAGATTATTACTTAGTACGAAACTAACCGTCTTAAAGCGTAGAATTTTCATATTTACTTACATAGACTACTAAAACCAAATATTGAAAAAATTATTTATTTCTCTATACTAAACCTTTTAATATATAAAGATTTTATAATACATGCTTTGCTTGTTGAATCAGCTTATAATGCACCATTATATGGTAAATTGAGTATAATTATTAGGCATTCACAGAAATTGGCTAAATAGTGTAATTAGGGTTGCCTTTGGATATGGAATTGCAAAAATAAAATATTTGAAATAAAAACTAAGCACCACTCTAATATTTTACTAAGGTTTGGTTATTAGAGGTGAGAAATAGTGGATAGTTTGCTTTTCTATTTAGTCTATCTGTTAGAGTTTGAATTGGCTAACTCCGGAATTATATTTCACTAACATCAATCAATATGCGCTATATCGCTAGCGATAAGCAATATATAGCTAATATTATATAAGACAGGCTCAATAAACAGATTAGTAAGATATATAAGGATCGGTCGGGCGGTTCAAAGACTACCTTAGTTTGGTCATTTAGCAAATTATCTATACTAATCAATATACGGTCAAAGTGCCAATTGACTCATTTGAATTGTAAAATTAACTTCTAAATAATATGTGATATCAGCGTTAATGCACGTAAAAGTCGCTTAAAAGCGAAAATAAAAATTATTTATATCTTAAGGCGGTTGTTTATATCTAAATTATGCTTAATTTTGAAGTAATTTTCTCATTTAAATATTTATATATTTACACAGGCAAAAACACACATTCGCTTTGTAATAATGAATTAGCTTACATGTTTGTATGTATGGTATATATGTATATGTGTGCACAAAACCACAAATATAACAATTTCTATTTATTATTTAGTGCATTTTTTTAATTTTGTTTCACTATCTGCATTTCATGTGAGGCTGCTGCTACTATAAACGCATTTGTTGCAAATTATGTGTGTTTATAAGCTTTTGCATTAGTTTAATGTGTATGTGTTCTTTTGTTACCTCAATCTGCAACTGCCGCAACTTGTTGTAACGTTGTAGTTGCCATATCATTTATGTATCAGAGAACGTAAAAGAAAAGTTCTTTGTATGTATGTACCTATATTGAAAGTTTGCATGCATGCACTTGTGTGTTTAAACAATTTTGTATAAAGCAATCGATAGTTAGTGAGTTTTTATTTGGTTTTGCTTTTGTTAGTATTATTTATTTGCCTTTATTCAAATCAATGCCCGCAAATATTTACCTTATAAATAATTGCTTATTAAGCAGTAATTTGTTTGCTGGCAAATCATGCACTTCAATTGCACGCTTTTCGGTTTTTCCAGTACGTATGTGTATGTTTGTATGTGCTTTTAATAACATTTTTCGCTTCGTGAATTTGTATTGAGCACCTTTATTATTATTATTACTATTTTATTACTTTCACTCCACTTCAATTTTGCATTAATGTTCGATAATCCATTGAATATTCGCATTTATTTGCCTTCGTTTGTGTAGTTCGTGAGCTTCGGTTATTTATGTAAGTTATTTGTGTTGTTTTAGTCGTGCTTTAGCTTTGCTTTTGCCTTGTAGCCTTGACTTTTACACTTTTGCTTTGCCTTGCCATGTCTGTTGTTGTTGTTAATTGTAATATGCATTGAATTGGCAGGACTTGCAGCATTTCTCTTGATAACGGTGTAATCTGCACAAACCCATCGACCGTACGTTGCGGCAATAGCGTGAAGTGTCCTTGCATTGATCAAAAGCTAACGTGGTAAAGGAGAAGACGTTATTTTATTGCAAATTAAACATATTAGGAAATATATATTCTCAGTTAGCATAACGAAATTTGGTATGCTTCAGTTATCCATGTTAAAAAATCTTTATAAAATAATTTCTATAGTCTTTTGACTTTTTATGAATGGCTCGAAGATGAACTAAAGGCGGGATAAGTATATGGGAATACGGCAAAGGTATTGTGATACGCGGTTTAGACTTCCACAGTCAGATATAGTATTTGGTAATAACAATAAAATTTCATTTACTCTTCTGTTAGTTGTTGGTTTTGTTGGAAAAATCTAAGACAATCGCGGGGTAGTAAGGTTGTAAAGGCCAACTGATCAAGCCTAAAGCTTTTTAGTAAGTTTTTCAAATTAATTCCTAGTTCTAGCCTGGGCTCTAACTAGAGGGACTTAGCATCCTGTGGGAAAACGAGACACAGCCTGAACACAAAAAATTATTATATGTATACTCATAATTAGATAAGCCTCCTTTAAATAGCAATACATAATTGTGACTACATAATAATATATACATAAAATACTCTACTCACTTTTTACAAAGCATGGCGGACTCTTGCAGACTTTCATAACTGCTGGACGCGGTTGATGGCGACAAGCATTGCCCGCTGGTCGGCGCGTGCCATACCAAACACACTGTAAAATGCGGTATTTAATTCCCTGGCGACCGCATTGCGCATTGCACTACAACAAAGAGAGATAGAAAGACATAAAAAGAGAGAGAAAAAGAAATAGGTAAATAGAATTGAAAACGAGTGAGAGATGACGGAAAAATTCACACAAAGACACACTTACCTCGGACCATGGCTCTACGCGCCAAACTCCCTTGCACCGCTCACTATAGCACTCCTGTCGACTAATGGGACGCTGTGACACACTGCAGGCATCCGTCGCCTCAGTGCCATTCGCAAAGCGACATTTAACCTCGCGTTTCTGGATGGCCGTGTTGCGTCCAAAGCAACGCGAACGCTGACACAAAGTCCACTCACCAGCCTCCCAATGGGCACACTCTTCCTGACCGCACATCTCGAACGTGTCAGGAACGCTTAGTCCATAATCCTCACAGTATGCATTGTTGACCGTTTCGATGTCCGCTTCCACGTGTGATTCCAACGCATTGTGTGTGGGCGTGTGGTGGCGCAAACGCAGGCAAGTTACGGAGCGACTCTATGAAATGAAAAAATGGTTGAGAAAAATATTATAAAACAAATTATAAATAATAAATAAACACATAAAAATGTTTTATAAAGCTAATGGACGGTTAAATTGGAATACAAACAGTATGTTGGTTACTTATACGCCATGGTGCATATTGTGTACGCATTTGTTTACTGTGTGTAGGAGGAAAAATATTTGCCTGACAATTTGCATGAGCGATGCAATGGTTGCAACGCAGTTGAACGTGTGTAAATTGCGGCACACTTCGATGTGTAAATATTGCATATTTGTCGCGTTTTCGAAAAAATTACACGACTGGAATTTCTTCCAAACATATTTTCAACTCTAAGGATTCTAAGACCTGTTGATACCAATATTGTTAAAATTTTTTATTTTTAAATTATTAAAATTTTTAGCAAGTGGCAAGCTTAAGCCGTAATATATCAACTTATAATTTTTTAACTTTTGAAGTTCCGTTTTGATTCGTGACTTATAATTTTCAATATTTTAACTTTTTTACAGAACTGATAGCACTTCTAAATAAAATATTTTCAATACTAAAGCCTCTCATACCATCTTAATAGCCATATTGTCAACTTTCGGTTGCTCCATCAATTTTACTGAAATAAAAATTTTAACGGGTGGCAACCTTCACCAATTAAGTGTAAGCTTTTATAATGTTAGGGAAAACTCTTTAGTTTTTTCAAACTTTTTTATACAGTTGGCAACTTTTCTAAACAGATTCTCGGCACTAAGACTCTTTAAACCTGTTAGTATCTACAAATTGAACATTCGTTTAGCTCATAATTTTTTTTTACTAAATTTTTTTAGTATTATAACTTGCACAGCTGGCAACATTTTTAAAAATATATTTAACGCTAAATCTACTTAGACCACTTGATAAGCTTATTGTGTAAATTTAGTTATCTTCGTAATAATATTCAATTAATTTTTTTAACATGTGGCAACCCTTTTAAAAATATGTTTAACATTAAGACCACTTGATAAGCTTATTGTGTAAATTTGTTTACCTTTTCAATATTATTCAATTGAATTTTTTTAAAAGGTGGCAAACTTCTCCCAAAAAAGAATTCATCTTTAATGACATCTGTCAATGTTTCTTAAGTTTTTGATTTAAGTGTTTTACTCGTACTGATTTTTTACTAATGATTTTTAATATTCTAACTTTTTACAAAGCTGGCAACTCTGCCAACAAAATGTTTATCTAAATTCAATTCACTAAAATTCCCTATACTTTTTAATATAATATTGTAAAACTTAAAATTGTAAAAATTCCATTGAAATATTATATAAATTCTACTAAATTTAAATTTTAAAATATATGGCAACCTTAACATTTTAAAACATAAGCTAATATTTCGAAATATGCAAACTTAAGCATTTTGTCAGTAGGATCTAATTTTCAAATGTTGATAACCTCAATTTTCCTTTCAGTAATTGATTACATAACTCCCTGTGCCACAGAGCTTCAACGCTTACCTGACCGCCTACTAAATAGGTGTATACGAGTGTAGGGTAAACAGCAGCACATTGCCAAAACTATTGAATTACAAATTGCGCAACACTTACCCGTAAACCAGCGCCACCTGCATTGCCGCACTTCTCTGAACACGCCGACCAGTCGCCGATGCGCCATTCGTACGTGACATGGTTACTGGTGGCTACCGTGGCTGTCTCCGGTTCGCCCTGCTTCTGCCATCTGTGGTGCGGTGAATGTGGTGAATCGGCTTCGTGCGTTACGCCAACGGCATTACCAATTGTTGGCAGCGTTGTTGCTGTGCTAGTGATGACGCTTATATGGTCTGTTGCTTCCTGTTCGTGCCACTCATTGCCGTCAGTGTTAAAGTTGGTGATGCTGCCGTCATTGGTGTCTTCTACAGTTGTTAGCGATGATGGAGCAAATACATCTGACGTTGCAAGGGTCCGCAAATCTCCATTGTCGATTTGTGGTCGCATCGGCTCGTCCTGTTCAAAATTTTCTAAGTCTATGCCAAATTGTAGACCCTTGTCGAACAGCATGTGATGTCCTTTCGAATTGCCAAATTTCTGAAAAGGCCACAAATGCTGCGGTAGCAGAAGTGAGAAAGAAAAAAAAGCGAAATAACAAATCGGATTAGCAAAGTGAGCGGCTTAAAATGTGCACGATTCTTTTCTTCTTTATTTTTTTTTAAATTTTCGTGGCAAGTTAAGCAGCCTCTGTCCAAAATAGCGGCAAATCGCTAGAAGCTGAACTCAGTACACAAACAGCCGCCATGCTTTAAAACGTACGTGAGGCATGCAACACTGTCTAAGCGGCAAAGAATTTGTGTATATTTATGGAGCTGTATGTGTGTGAATGTTTGTATGGATGTATGAGCACAGCATGCAATTTTCTACAAGTCCTTGCCAACAACTTTTCATTGTGCAAGTAAATGGATGTATGTGTGTATGTGCATGCAAAGCTATATGGTAAAGATTATATGTATGCTAAGTTGTGGTCGTCCACATTGTAGGCGTTTAGTTGACACAGCAGCCGCATTGGCCCATTTTCTTTTACAACCCTTTCGTTCTGTTTATACGAGTAAAGTCGCCGTTATCTAGCTTCTTCGAGGCCTAATCTTTTAACGCTTCAATTTGCTGTGTGCGTGTCCGAGCTTATATTATATTACTAGCCACAATCACTCTTTCATTATACAACTGAAATTTCTGTGATCTTTCGCAAGCTTCTCATTTTAGAGCTCATCTCATACACTACACCGTCTTTTCTACGTTAATTTGCGAAATTTATTGTCTTTAAAATGACCGTAGAAAGTCATAAGTCATATACATAAAAAATAGGTTACGATAAGACATTTCTCAGTACAGTATATAAAAATATTATTAATTCAAAACTAAGAGAGAATTAGAAAAAGATTATGTACCCGAATTTCATAAAAAATATTTCACTCTAAAATCCTTATACTTGAAGTATTTATTGAAGATTGCCTTATCAAAATAACCTAATGAAATTTAGTAGCTCTCTAAACTATGTAATTTCAAGAGTAAACTATTCACCACGTGAAAAGTTTTAAGCCAGCTACTACAAAGATCTCTAAGTCTGGAAAATTAGGGTGTCATCGACAGTATTCGGAAAAAGCAGAGTCACAAAGTCAATGTCAGAAGTTACACAATGCAAACATTGGTTAATAATAAAAAAGTTGATGTAAAGAGTGTTATTATTAAAGTATTAATGCGCGAGACATCTGAAATAGTAAGCTTTGTGCAAAACCTACGTAATTTCCGCAATAAAAATAGTCAATGTGAGTTCTTTTTGTTTGCTATTTTGAAACTGTCGCTCAGTGGGCAGAAATTAGAAAACATATTTTTCGGATATACTGGAGAACATCACTCAATGCACTTGAGCTAAGAGTAGGCTATGTTTCAAAATAAGTCGTCCTTCTCCCAAAATTTACGTTTTCCCACTGTGAACGAACACTCTAAAAAAGCTTGGGAGAAAGTTAAAAAAATGTGTGGTTCTTGCAAACGAAATAATTAACGCGAATTTCAATTTAAAATATCAATAGATTATGTTTTGAGCTATAACTCATAGATTTACATTGCAAAATCAGCCAAGCTTTAAAACCTAATTGATTGGGAAGTGTGAATATCATACATTCCATAATAAACATCAACAACAACAATTTAAACATATATACATATATATACATTGATTCATTTCATTTCTAGTTTATACTGAGTCGAGACAATACAATGACACAATCCGTACAAGTCTTGCTGATTTCCCACGAGTCCGAGATGTAACGACAGGCTCAGCGAATGTTGAAATTTGTTCAAATACAAAGTGAACCAAGAGAACTAAAAACGCCGACAAACCCATGTAAATTGCACAAACTCGATGCTGTTGCCGTTTTACTGTATTGTAGTTGTATTGTGAAACAATTATGCATTCATAGAGTTTGCGCGGGCTAACTGGGAATTGGTGTTGCTAGCTGCAGGCAAACAGTCACTTTTACAATTTTCAACTACAAGAAACGGCGCTTTCGGCTGATCACCACCACCGCCACTACTGAGTGAATGGGTAATTGAGTTGTGTCAAACACTGTCAATATTAGCTCATATCGTAAGTCGCGTATTGTATATACAAAAATGCACTCATATGCAACATTAAACATTTCATATATGTCTGTTGATTACATGCAGTGGAGAATGCGGAATAAGTACAACAGTATTGAGGCTGCTGCCAGCCAACTGCGCTTACTGTGAAAATTAACTGCAATTGTGCAATGAAAATGAGCAATCGCTTTGCAATTTTTTTATGCTATGGGTCGACTAGTGGATCCCAGCGAGTGCTGGTAATACTTACAAGTATGTTTTGAGTTAATACCATTCTTATGTGTACGCTGTGTCGCATTAAATTTTATTGTTGATAACATGGCAAAGAGCATTGATGTGTACATACCTATATGATATACTACGAAACATATTTTCATATTTATTTAAATAAATCTACCAAATTGACTTTTCAGTAATAAATGTGCGAAAAGCTTATTTCAGCGAAAACTTAAATAACCGTATGGTTGAATTTTATATACAAAAACAACAAGTTACGTAAATATATTTTAACCTTATAAAGAAAAAATTTTATTTAAGATTTAAATAGATGTATACAAGTATATACTCTATACATAGCACCGAATTCGACTGTTTCTTTTCTTTGAAGGGTGTTGTCGTCGCTCTAATCTAGCGAAAAAAAAAATCGTTAATGATCGTACGTCAATTCGAAAGAGTTCGTACGATCACCGAATATGCTGAATGTAAAATAAGTTTAAGTAGCTCAGGTTTCCTGTTAATCTAAAATATTTTAAAGAAATCATTTGCTACAAAAATAGTAATAAAAATACGAAGATCGCAGTTATCGGTGTGATCTTCGAATATTTTCATTTCGTTCATTAAGATATAAATGGGCTCAATGTATTGTCAGCTTAATACATTGAGTCTGGGTTATAGCTTAGAAAAATTAATTACGCGAATATAGTTCATTTATTAAAGAGTGAGTAAAAGCAAGTAAAAACTGAAAAAATATACCTCCAAAAATACTCTTTATTTTAAGCTAGAAAGTCACTCTCGCATGCGCACAGTAAATATTTTCTTCAAAACTTCAGATTTAAAATTTCAAAATATTATAATTTTATTATAAACATCATCGTAAATGCGTCTAAATTAATTAGCGTTAGAAATTTCATTTTCAACTTTACGAATTATGCAAAAGTGAATTATATTTGCAGATGAAAAATACCACCTAAGCGTTGGCATGTGTATTTGCCTACTAGCCATGACAATCTGCTTATACCACACACAGTCATAAATGCAGCGGCACACGTACATACATATATATGTATATTATATAAATCGCTACTAATTTGATTGTGTGCATTTAGCTGCCAGTGGATCCCAAGCGTTACGCAGCTGGCTGAAGCTGACGATGCTGCCGAAGCGGCTTTAGTTGCTGCCATCTCTCTTGCTGCTCTAGCTATTGCCATTTTACATTGGCGTGCTTCCATTGCTAAATATGCCATTTGAAAGTCGACATATAAGCAGAAGCAACGCTAACTGTCATACTTTGGCTAATACGCTCGCAGTTCCATGACGTTTTCCACACAGTTAGCTGGCAGCCGAGCGAATCGCAAGCAAACAGCCGGAAATGTATGCGTATACATATGTATGTATGCGTGCATATACAGTGTATGATTTCGTTAATGTGAATTGTGTGTAATTGTGTTCGCCAAGCGCGATAAATTCCATGGTGGAGTTAACAGTTTAGTTGACATATTTATATGTGAATTTTTGTATATTTTTATAAGAATGTTGTCATTTATTGCACTTGAATTATAAAGAGATAGCCATCTAAGAAAATGCTTAAATGACTGGGAAGAAATTGTCCAAGAATTTGAATTGAAAATATCTAATTTAATGCTGTAAATTCCCTACAAAACTATCAGTTTTCCGATTTAAAGTAATTTTTTTCATTGAGTGATGAAATGCATAAGAAAAAATTTTTTGCCTAAATATAATCAAATTGAATACAATTAAATTTAAATGGTTAGGTTTACGAAAAAATTGTCAGACACTCTTTTGTAGAGTCATAAATTTCCTAACAAATCTATGAAACGAGTTTTTTTTTAAGTAATTGCAAGCGAGATTTGAATTTTCTATCTGATAATAAGAAAATAATAGAAAACTGTAAGAGTGCATACTTGAAAACCTATTGTTTTGAGTACCAAGCGAAAAAAATATTCGGTTTTTGAGCCACCCTATGTATATATTTTATATATGCACAAACATATGAACTATATTTAAGTATCTGCAATTGTAAAATGATATTAACTTTATTTAAACTTATCAAAAAGTATCTAGCCTTCTTAGTAAAAATAACTTTTACACCAATTAAATATTTATGCACTAATTAACACATCACCAAAGTGGCTTTACAAAAATGTTTGCAGTTTGCAAATATAAATTGCTACAATATTTTGTAAGTCTTAATAGTTTTTTAATATGGTTATATTTTTGCATGACAGAAATTGTACGCATTTTATGCGCTAATTAAGAAGCATAAAGAAGTTACTTTTTTCTTACAAAAAAAAAAAAAAAAACAAAAAAACAAGAACCAAAATGTTCATATTCTGGTATGGATGCGCAATCTTTCACATGATGACACTGCGTATGAGTAATATTATTTGGTATTGCTTACACTAGAGATACCAAGGCTCTAGAAAACTTGCTAAAATCTATGCGTACAGTAGACTTCACTTTCTCAGCCAATTTTATAAAAAGTGGTAGCGAGTAACCGCTAAATAACTACAACATATTCGAAGCTTTTTGAATTCCTTTACGCCTTGTCATTCAATAAACTGCTCTTGGGTATGCGTCACTTTGACGCAATGACAGATACTTAGAAAGCTAGCTGGAAAACAAGCGAGAAAGACAGCAACGAACAAAAATACTCACACATGCATTCACTTTACTTGCAGCTGGTAACTAGGTTGGTGTAAGCAGCACGCCTGCGTAAATTAATTGGTTAGTGG